ATGAAAGACTATTTTCCATTCATAAATTCTATTATTGAAGATTTCTTAAAAACAGTGTATAAATCTTGTCTCATCTCGTTCTCGTGGAGTAAACGTCTCGTCACACCACAACCAAATATCAAAAGCATTTTCTAGACAAGCAGAACATATTGTCTTGTTTTAACAAATAATGCCCAAATCAAGTGAGTTTTTTTCCTAAAACAAGTTAAACAAATCTGCCAAAGGGGTGAGCAAAATAATCGTTCATCAAAAAGAAAAACAAGATTATTTTGCTTGTTTTAAGGAAAAACTCACTTAACTTTGGGATATTATTTCTGAAAACAAGACAATAGTTTTTGCTTGACTAGACAACGTTTCTTGATTTAAGAATCTTTAGATATTTGGTCTAGAAACAAGACAAAATTTCTAAGAAAAGCATTTTCTGCAGTATATAACTATGGCTTGTTGAGGCTCGTTTACATTTATTTTTAATTAGTAAGCAGCTCGATGGTCATGCAAAACACCATAATTAGTCCACACATAACAAAAAATCTAGACTTGAACTCAATAGCAAACAATGTGACATGAACACACCTTTAGTGATGTTGAGCTCTCGTATGCTGTATCCCTCTCTCAGTCTGATGGACAGAACGCTGATCAAATCTGCATGCACTTCCTTCTCTGTGTGTTTCTTCCTGCGCATTACTAAGGCGGGGTTTCCACTGGCTGACACCAGGTGTTCATTAAAGAGCCTGTGCTGAGAGACTACAAACACACGCATGACACAGATTAGTGTTTTTCACTTCTCATTATACCAGGAATGTCCGAACTCGATCCTAAAGGGCCGGTGTCCGGCATATTTTAGGTATAACCCCAATTAAACACGCCTGAACCAGCTAATCAAGCTCTTTCTAGGTATATAAGGAACTTCCAGGCAGGTGTGCTGAAGAAAGTTGGAGCTAAACTATGCAGGACACCAAGCCCTCCAGGACCGAGTTTGGACACCCCTGCATTATGCTATGCCATAGTGCAGAGTTGTTGCTAGAAGGGATACAGCTGTAGTTGAAAGTTTAACATTTACACCTTACCCTAAACCCAATCCACGCAGTAATGTAAAAACAGTATTTATAACGAGAATTATTTATTTAACTCCTCATTAAATTGTATTTTATTAACATTTAGCTCTACCCAACCCTAAACCTACCCCTTACAGTAATATAAAAACAGTAATTATAATGAAATTATTTATTAAATTACCCATTAAATTGTATTTTATTAATGTCTACCCCCACCTCAACTCTCAACTCAACCTTCAAAGTAATGTAAAACAGTCATTATAATGAAAATATTTATATTACTTATTAAATTACCCATTAAATTGTATTTTATTAACGTTTAGCTCTACCCAACCTTAAACCTACCACTTACAGTAATATAAAAACAGTCATTATAATGAAATAGTTTATATTATTTATCAAATTACCCATAAAATTGTATTTTCTTAATGTCTACCTCTACCCAACTTTAAACCTACCCCTTACAGTTATATAAAAACAGTAATAATAATCAAATTATTTATATTACTTATTAAATTACCCATTAAATAGTATTTTATTAACGGGTAGCTCTACCCAACAATAAACCTACCCTTACAGTAATATAAAAACAGTCATTATAATGAAATAGTTTATATTATTTATCAAATTACCCATGAAATTATATTTTCTTAATGTCTACCTCTACCCAACTTTAAACCTACCCCTTACAGTAATATAAAAACAGTAATTATAATCAAATTATTTATATTACTTATTAAATTACCCATTAAATTGTATTTTATTAATGTCCACCCTTACCCTAACCCTTAATTCAACCTTCAAAGTAATGTAACAGTAATCATAATGAAATTACTTATATTATTTATTAAATTACCCATAAAATTATATTTTATTAATGTCTACCCCCACCTCAACTCTCAACTAAACCTTCAAAGTAATTTAAAACAGTAATTATAATGAAATTATTTATATTATTTATTAAATTACCCATTAAATTGTATTTTATTAACGTCCACCCTTACCCTAACCCTAAATTCAATCTACAAAGTAATCTAAAACTGTAATTAAAATGAAATTATTAAGATTATTTATTAAATTACCCATAAAATTATATTTTATTAATGTCTACCCCCACCTCAACTCTAAACCCAACCTTCAAAGTAATGTAAAACGGTAATTATAATGAGAATTATTTATTAATTACATTACCCATTAGATTATATTTTATTAACCTCTCTCCTTACCCCAAACCAACACAGTGTCATAAAAATGATGCTATACTGATGCAAGTATCCACAGCTGAATCCCATCTACACTTTATCAAACACCGTATAAGATAAACAGAGGAGAGTTGAGAAAAAAATGTGTTTTTGTGATCAGAATGGATGTGATGTGATCTTACAGCAGTAGTACTCTGGGTTCATGGACTCTCCGGTTTTTAGGAAGGAGTATGTGAGGAAGGCGCGATGGTAAGCGTTCATCTCGTCGCCTGTACAGTGCGACTCTGGACACATGGACAGATATGAGCCGAAGGTCGCCATTGAGATGAACTTCATCAGCTCCACGTTGGGGATGTAGCCAAAACTGCAGTCATAAGAGTAGGCACCCCCGACCTGAACCAAACACATTCATAAAAAACATAGTGCTATGCTTAGGGGTGTGTGATGTTGACTAAAATAAGACAGCTGAAGTCAAAAATATTCGCCCTCCTGTGAATTATAATTATTTTAAAATATTTCCCAAATGATGTTTAATAAGATTCAGGAATTTTTCACAGTATTTCCTATAATATTTTTTTATTCT